GGTGAATTGTACTACAAGTCGGTGCATGGTTCTACAAAGTGTTGCAAGGTGCTACAAGGGGATGCATGGTTCTACAAGGTGGTGTATGGTGCTACAAGGTTGTGCTACAGGGTGGTGCATGGTATTACAAACTGCTACGAGTATTACCTTCATTGATTCATCCTAACTTCTGGATGGTGTCAAGGTGGTGCATGGTGATACAGAACGGTGCATGAGGCTATAGGGTGGTGCATGGTTCTACAGGGTGGTGCTACAAAGTGCTGCATGGTGCTACAAGGCGGTACTACAAGGTGGTGCATGGTGCTACAGAACGGTGCATGAGGCTATAGGGTGGTGCATGGTTCTACAGGGTGGTGCTACAAAGTGCTGCATGGTGCTACAAGGCGGTACTACAAGGTGGTGCATGGTGCTACAAGGTGGCGCATGATACTACAAGGTGGTGCTTGGTGCTACAAGGTGGTGCATGGTTCTACAAGGTGGTGCTACAAAGTGGTGCTTAGTGCTAAAAGGTGGTGCATGGTACTACAAAGTGTTGAATGGTACTGCAAGGTGGTGCATGGTTCTACAGGGTGGTACTACAAAGTGTTGCATGGTACTGCAAGGTGGTGAATGGTTCTACAAGGTGGTGCTACAAGGTGGTCCATGGTACTACAAGGTGGTGCATGGTGCTACAAGGTGGTGAATTGTACTACAAGTCGGTGCATGGTTCTACAAAGTGTTGAATGGTACTGCAAGGTGGTGCATGGTTCTACAAGGTGGTACTACAAAGTGTTGCATGGTACTGCAAGGTGGTGAATGGTTCTACAAGGTGGTGCTACAAGGTGGTGCATGGTGCTACAAGGTGGTCCATGGTACTACAAAGTGTTGCAAGGTGCTACAAGGGGATGAATGGTTCTACAAGGTGGTGCTACAAGGTGGTGCTACAAGGTGGTCCATGGTACTACAAAGTGTTGCAAGGTGCTACAAGGGGATGAATGGTTCTACAAGGTGGTGCTACAAGGTGGTGCTACAAGGTGGTCCATGGTACTACAAAGTGTTGCAAGGTACTGCAAGGTGGTGAATGGTTCTACAAGGTGGTGCTACAAGGTGGTGCATGGTACTACAAGGTGGTGCTACAAGGTGGTCCATGGTACTACAAGGTGGTGCATGGTGCTACAAGGTGGTCCATGGTACTACAAGGTGGTGAATGGTTCTACAAGGTGGTTCTACAAGGTGGTGCAAGGTGCTACAAGGTGGTCCATGGTACTACAAGGTGGTGCATGGTGCTACAAGGTGGTCCATGGTACTACAAGGTGGTGAATGGTTCTACAGGGGGGTACTACAAGGTGGTCCATGGTACTGCAAGGTGGTGAATGGTTCTACAAGGTGGTGCTACAAGGTGGTCCATGGTACTACAAGGTGGTGCATGGTTCTACAAGGTGGTGCATGGTGCTACAAGGTGGTGAATTGTACTACAAGTCGGTGCATGGTTCTACAAAGTGTTGCAAGGTGCTACAAGGGGATGCATGGTTCTACAAGGTGGTGTATGGTGCTACAAGGTTGTGCTACAGGGTGGTGCATGGTGCTACAAGGGGATGCATGGGGAAACAAGATGGTGTATGGTGCTACAAGGTTGTGCTACAGGGTGGTGCAAGGTGCCACAGGGTGGTGCATGGTTCTACAAGGTGGTGTATGGTGCTACAAGGTTGTGCTACAGGGTTGTGCATGGTTCTATAGGGTGGTCCTACACGGTGGTGCATGGTGCTACAAGGTGGTGCTACAGGGTGGCGCATGGTCCTACACGGTGGTGCATGGTGCTATAGGGTGGTACTACAAGGTGGTGCATGGTGCTACAAGGTGGTGCTTGGTGCTATAGTGTGGTACTACAAGGTGGTGCATGGTGCTACAAGGTGGTGCTACAGGGTGGCGCATGGTCCTACACAGTGGTGCATGGTACTTCTAGGTGTCTGTGGTGCTACAAAGTGGTGCATGGTGCTACAGGGTGGTGCTACAAGGTGGTGCGCTGTACGCCAACAATTGTTAAACTCGAGTGCGTGCAGGCGCACTCTCTTGGTGTTCTACACGATTCCACAGAGAGGAGATAAAGTTGATGATATAGCGTCCCATATTTTCACCTCAAGCCACCCCCCTATTCATGCTATTTGTGTTCGGCCACCCATATCCTGAAAGGAGCACATGGATGTCCCATGTGATGTTGATGGTTATGAAACGAAATGGTTATGAAACATTTGTATATACATAGAAACTGGGTTAATGTTATAAATTTATTTACACAAAAAAAACAGAAAGATACATTTGAAGCAATCTGAAACAATACAAAAGCTATATTAGTTTGTTTTTTTCGATTCTAGGGCATCGACAATCCCAGCGAGTTGGCAATATGATGTATATGTTGGTTGGTTGGTTGGTTTGTTGTTTAACGCCGCACTCAGCAATATTCAAGCTATATGACGGTGGTCTGTAAATAATCTGGTCTGGACCAGACATTCCAGTGATTAATATCATGACCATCGATGGACGCAATTGGGATCGATGACATGCATCAACCAAGTCAGCGAGCCTGACCACCCAATCCCGTTAGTCGCCTTTTACGACAAGCATAGTCGCCTTTTACGGCAAGTATGGGTTGCTGAAGACCTATTCTACCCCGGCGTCTTCACGGGCCTGATGTAAATATATATATATACAGGCTGGTGCATGGTGCTACAAGGTGGTTCTACAAGGTGGTGCATGTTGCTACAGGGTGGTGCATGGTTCTACAAGGTGGTGCATGTTGCTACAAGGTGGTGCATGGTTCTACAAGGTGGTGCATGGTGCTACAGGGTGGTGCATGGTTCTACAAGGTGGTGCATGGTTCTACAAGGTGGTGCATGTTGCTACAGGGTGGTGCATGGTTCTACAAGGTGGTGCATGGTGGTACAGGGTGGTGCATGGTGCTACAGGGTGGTGCATGGTTCTACAAGGTGGTGCATGGTGGTACAGGGTGGTGCATGGTTCTACAAGGTGGTTCTACAAGGTGGTGCATGGTGCTACAGGGTGGTGCATGGTTCTACAAGGTGGTGCATGGTGCTACAAGGTGGTGCATGGTGCTACAGGGTGGTGCATGGTTCTACAAGGTGGTGCATGGTGCTACAGGGTGGTGCATGGTGCTACAAGGTGGTTCTACAAGGTGGTGCATGGTGCTACAGGGTGGTGTATGGTTCTACAAGGTGGTGCATGGTGCTACAGGGTGGTGCATGGTGCTACAAGGTGGTTCTACAAGGAGGTGCATGGTGGTACAGGGTGGTGCATGGTTCTACAAGGTGGTGCTACAAGGTGGTGCATGGTGCTACAGGGTGGTGCTGGGTTCTACAAGGTGGTGCTACAAGGTGGTGCATGGTGGTACAGGGTGGTGCATGGTTCTACAAGGTGGTGCTACAAGGTGGTGCATGGTGCTACAGGGTGGTGCATGGTGCTACAAGGTGGTGCTACAAGGTGGTGCTACAAGGTGGTGCATGGTGGTACAGGGTGGTGCATGGTTCTACAAGGTGGTGCTACAAGGTGGTGCATGGTGGTACAGGGTGGTGCATGGTTCTACAAGGTGGTGCTACAAGGTGGTGCATGGTGCTACAGGGTGGTGCATGGTTCTACAAGGTGGTGCTACAGGGTGGTGCATGGTTCTACAAGGTGGTGCTACAAGGTGTTGCATGGTGCTACAAGGTGGTTCTACAAGGTGGTGCATGGTGCTAAAGGGTGGTGCATGGTTCTACAAGGTGGTGCATGGTGCTACAGGGTGGTGCATGGTTCTACAAGGTGGTTCTACAAGGTGGTGCATGGTGGTACAGGGTGGTGCATGGTTCTACAAGGTGGTGCTACAAGGTGGTGCATGGTGCTACAGGGTGGTGCATGGTTCTACAAGGTGGTGCTACAAGGTGGTGCATGGTGCTACAAGGTGGTTCTACAAGGTGGTACATGGTGCTACAGGGTGGTGCATGGTCCTACAAGGTGGTGCTACAAGGTGTTGCATGGTGTAACAAGGTGGTTCTACAAGGTGGTGCATGGTGCTACAAGGTGGTTCTACAAGGTGGTGCATGGTGCTACAGGGTGGTGCATGGTGCTACAAGGGGCTGCATGGTGCTACAGGATGGTGCATGGTTCTACAAGGTGGTGCTTGGTACTTCTAGGTGGCTGTGGTGCTACAAAGTGGAGCATGGTTCTACAGGGTGGTGCTACAAGGTGGTGCACTGTACGCCAACATTTGTTTAACTCGAGTGCGTGCAGGCGCACTCTCTTGGTGTTATACACGATTTCCCAGAGATGAGATAAAGGTATGATATAGCGGTATAGATATATGCTGATATAGCGTCACATATTTTCACCCACCCCCTATTCATGCTATTTGTGTTCGGCCACCCATATCCTGAAAGGAGCACATGGGTGTCCCATGTGATGTTGATGGTTATGAAATGAAATGGTTATGAAACATATGTATATACATAGAAACTGGGTTAATGTTATAAATTTATTTACACAAAAATAACTTTTAACAGATACATTTGAAACAATCTGAACCAATTGATATAAAAGCTATATTAGTTTGTTTTTTTCTATTCTAGGGCATCGATAATGCCAGCGAATTGGCAATAAGATATATACTTTTGTCACTGTTTTGTAGTAAGTGATTGCATGTGACGCAAACACAATGTCTCAGTTCTAATGTCAGCAATATTCCAGCCACAGCACAACAGTCTGTTAACATGTAAGTCCGGAGCAAACAAATTGTGATTGATATTGACCCGAATTCATCACTAATTTGAACACACCCACCTATCACAACCGACACAACCACTCACCACACCCCACGATACATACACGCTCAGCCTGTCCCACGACACCCACCCACCCGCTTAAATGTGAAAAACCCTTTTCCCCCTCCCCCTCTAAAGAAATGGATCCGCCCCTGGGAGTTAGGTAAGCGTTGTAAAGCTTGACCTCCGTTTGACCTCGATATCGCGCGCAAAGCAGCCTGGTCGCGTTTCATGGGCTGGCATTTACTTGACACATTCGACACTCTCCGAGCAGGGCCATCGCAGAGACAGGACAGTGCCTCCTGACGAAACACTGTGAGTACTGTATATGTTGCAGTTGCCTCTGTCTTGGTTTGCATTGTCGTCAGAGCAGTATTTCGCAGGAATCTATGGTCCTGATTTAATTAATGACATTGTACGTATATTTTTACTGTCAAACACACGTCCATGTAGCGAAAACATGAACTTATATTATCAAAATCGGACCGCCGTATCTCAGTAATAAATTTGACATTCAAGTGTCCGGTCTTACTATGTTCAATCACTGTAGATTGAGCGTCATACTGTCCTCGAGAGACGCAGAGAGAAATTTGACACTAAATGTTTTGAGGTGGCATTTATTGTGTTATGTGTTATTGTGTTGTAGATGATTGTAACAGAAAATTTGTAGATCTATAACAAATATTTGTAAAACTATGACAGTTTGTTCATATTCAGTGAAAGGATGGACTCCGATTGAATAGTATTGTGCACTATGTCAAACGGTGAGTTCCAAAATATCAAAATCCTCTCTCAGTGTGTGTGTGTGTGTGTGTGTGCGTGCGTGCGTGCATGCGTGCGTGCGTGCGTGTGTTTATGTGTGCGGATGGGGGGTGGGGGTAGGGGATGGGTGGGTTGTCAACATACAACATACTGCATTTGGTTTCCAAAAGGGGGTAGGGATGGGGGGTAGGGATGGGTGGTGGGGGGCAGGACTTGAAATCGTCTTAATGTTCTACGTGTTGTGCCACTGTTAACAGATCGACACATTCTAGCCAGACACCAAACGTGACAGATTTGGGGGCGGTTCTGTACCGATATGAGGCGGGATCACTATGACAAGTAGAGCGTCACTGCATGTTGTCGATAAAATGGTGGCTGTACTACCGAGGCAAAATAATGGCGCCAATAGTTGTGCTACTTGCTGCTTGCGCACCATGCTTGTCCACGTTTTTTTTTTCAAACGATAACGCTCTTTCCCACCACGCACGTATTGTAATGGACTACCTCCAGCAGAAAAGCATCACCAGATTGCAATATCCAGCCTTGACTACTGACCTTTCTCCCATAGAGCACGTCTGGTGCATGATCGGGAGACATGATAGTGTGCCTATTAGGGGAGTATATTAACACGATAATGGAAGTTACATGTATTTACCAAATATCTGAAACGAGCGGAGCTAGGATGATATCTCATATAAGAATGTTATACTTGTCGATCACTACTCGTCTCAGTCTATGCTCACAGCTTCTAATTTCATTTCTCTTTTTACAGGATTCAAAATGGATTCCTCACCTTCCCCAGTTAAACTGATGTTAACACTTTTGAAGTCAACAGAAATGCAGGTTGGCATGGTAACCTTTATTGCGTCATTGCTAGCAATGAAAGTGGTGAAAAAGTTTACCTCTGGCCGGAAACCCCCTCCTCCTGGTCCCTGGGGGTTCCCTATTATTGGACACCTCCCGCTACTGGGAAACGAACCCTACGTGACCTTCATGAAGATGAAGGAAAGGTTCGGAAACATCTTCCAGATCCAGTTGGGTAGTTGGTCGGCCGTGGTTATAAATGGCAAGCAGGCCATTAAAGAAGCTCTACATAACTCTGGTGAGGACTTCTCTGGTAGACCCCAGTTCATGTCCGCACAGACTATCAGCAACGGTGAAAGTATTGGCTTTGGTGAGTATGGCGAACAGTGGAAAATTCACAGAAAAATTGCCAACAAAGTCTTGACTGAGTTCTCGAATGCCAAGTCAAATCCTATAGAAGATATGATTCACGAAGAAGTAGACATTCTCGTGGATGACTTCATGTCTGAGCAGAGAGTAACATTCAACCCTCGGGATTACATCTACCTCTCCGTCGGTAGCGTCATCTACCAACTGTGCTACGGCAGACAAGAAAACATCCGGGAAGACAAGGATTTCGCTGATTTCATATTAAACTCAGCTGCATTCGCGGAATTCGTCAGTGCCGGAAACCCTGTTGATGTCATGCCCTGGCTCCGATATCTCATGCCCTGGAAAGTGAAGGCATTTACAACACTCATCCAAACAAGCATTGACGCAAATGAAAAGAAGATCAGTGAACACAAAAAAAACTTCTCTAGTGACAACATGCGTGACATCACGGACAGATTGATATCTGTAAGTGAGGAAGACTCCAGGTTGTCCAAGGAAAGGATTTTGTCTACGCTTAACGACCTCTTTGGGGCAGGTTTTGAGACAATTGCTTCAACCACCAGGTGGATGTTACTGCTGATGGCCGCCAATCCAAAAGTGCAGAGGCGGGTGCAGGAAGAACTGGACGACGTTGTGGGCAGCGGGAGACGACCCAGTATCTTGGATAGAGGTCAGCTGGTTTACACTGCCGCAGTGCTCAATGAGATCAACCGGTTTGTGGCACTGACACCTCTCAGTCTCCCTCACCTCACCACCACCGATACCAGTCTCGGGGGATACAGTATCAACAAAAACACTGTTATCTTCATCAACCTGTACTCCATGAGCCATGACCCAGAAGTATGGGGTGATCCGCATGTCTTCCGACCCGAGCGTTTCCTTGACGCTTCTGGTCAGATCAACAAGTCCCTCCTGGAGGAGTTCCTTCCCTTCTCCACTGGTCGGCGGAAGTGTCTTGGGGAGTCTCTGGCTAGGAACGAACTTTTTCTTTTGTTCACTGGAATCCTACAGAAGTGCAGCATCTTGCAACCACCAGAAGTGAAGGAATATAGCATGGACGCCAACAATGGATTAGCGCGCCAATGTCTACCCTACCAAGTACAGGTCAAGCTCAGGACCTGAATCGCCACTCATTTATTATTCTTCTCATGGATAACAACCTGACAAATTCATGAACTGGCCAAGAACGAAATCTTTCTTATGTTCGCTGGAATCCTACAGAAGTGCAGCATCCTGTAACCTCAAGATGTGAAGGAATACAGCATGGACGTCATGGGTGGAACAACGCGCCCTGACTCGCCATTCCTCACATGGACAACACCCTGAGAAAAATTCATGAACTGGACAGGGCCACAGGACACAAGCCTTAAAAAACAAAAATAAGTTTGGGAAGAGCAATGTTAATATATTGCCATGTGTGTCAAATGCCAGGACTCAAACAATACACTGAAACACCCTGCACAGTGCTCAGTAGCCCAGTAGATTCCCGCATCAAAGACCATCAGTCTCCAACAGCCAAAACAGACAGCAAATCAGCCCTCTCAGACCACCATCAAAGACTTCCTAGCCATCACATTCAGTTTGGCAAAGTCCAAATCCTCTCAACCAAACCTTAGGACTTACTCCTTATCTTAATCCTTACTGTACACCTGGCTTCATCACCCAGGTTTCATTGCCTGTGTGCTATTTGTTATCCTCACTGTACACCTGGCTTCATCACCCAGGTTTCATTACCTGTGTGCTATTTGTTATCCTCACTGTACACCTGGCTTCATCACCCAGGTTTCATTACCTGTGTGCTATTTGTTATCCTCACTGTACACCTGGCTTCATCACCCAGGTTTCATTACCTGTGTGCTATTTGTTATCCTCACTGTACACCTGGCTTCATCACCCAGGTTTCATTACCTGTGTGCTATTTGTTATCCTCACTGTACACCTGGCTTCATCACCCAGGTTTCATTACCTGTGTGCTATTTGTTATCCTCACTGTACACCTGGCTTCATCACCCAGGTTTCATTACCTGTGTGCTATTTGTTATCCTCACTGTACACCTGGCTTCATCACCCAGGTTTCATTACCTGTGTGCTATTTGTTATCCTCACTGTACACCTGGCTTCATCACCCAGGTTTCATTACCTGTGTGCTATTTGTTATCCTCACTGTACACCTGGCTTCATCACCCAGGTTTCATTACCTGTGTGCTATTTGTTATCCTCACTGTACACCTGGCTTCATCACCCAGGCTTCATTACCTGTGTGCTATTTGTTATCCTCACTGTACACCTGGCTTCATCACCCAGGCTTCATTACCTGTGTGCTATTTGTTATCCTCACTGTACACCTGGCTTTATCACCCAGGTTTCATTACCTGTGTGCTATTTGTTATCCTCACTGTACACCTGGCTTTATCACCCAGGTTTCATTACCTGTGTGCTATTTGTTATCCTCACTGTACACCTGGCTTTATCACCCAGGTTTCATTACCTGTGTGCTATTTGTTATCCTCACTGTACACCTGGCTTCATCACCCAGGTTTCATTACCTGTGTGCTATTTGTTATCCTCACTGTACACCTGGCTTTATCACCCAGGTTTCATTACCTGTGTGCTATTTGTTATCCTCACTGTACACCTGGCTTCATCACCCAGGTTTCATTACCTGTGTGCTATTTGTTATCCTCACTGTACACCTGGCTTCATCACCCAGGTTTCATTACCTGTGTGCTATTTGTTATCCTCACTGTACACCTGGCTTCATCACCCAGGTTTCATTACCTGTGTGCTATTTGTTATCCTCACTGTACACCTGGCTTCATCACCCAGGTTTCATTACCTGTGTGCTATTTGTTATCCTCACTGTACACCTGGCTTCATCACCCAGGTTTCATTACCTGTGTGCTATTTGTTATCCTCACTGTACACCTGGCTTCATCACCCAGGTTTCATTACCTGTGTGCTATTTGTTATCCTCACTGTACACCTGGCTTCATCACCCAGGTTTCATTACCTGTGTGCTATTTGTTATCCTCACTGTACACCTGGCTTCATCACCCAGGTTTCATTACCTGTGTGCTATTTGTTATCCTCACTGTACACCTGGCTTCATCACCCAGGTTTCATTACCTGTGTGCTATTTGTTATCCTCACTGTACACCTGGCTTCATCACCCAGGTTTCATTACCTGTGTGCTATTTGTTATCCTCACTGTACACCTGGCTTCATCACCCAGGTTTCATTACCTGTGTGCTATTTGTTATCCTCACTGTACACCTGGCTTCATCACCCAGGTTTCATTACCTGTGTGCTATTTGTTATCCTCACTGTACACCTGGCTTCATCACCCAGGTTTCATTACCTGTGTGCTATTTGTTATCCTCACTGTACACCTGGCTTCATCACCCAGGTTTCATTACCTGTGTGCTATTTGTTATCCTCACTGTACACCTGGCTTCATCACCCAGGTTTCATTACCTGTGTGCTATTTGTTATCCTCACTGTACACCTGGCTTCATCACCCAGGTTTCATTACCTGTGTGCTATTTGTTATCCTCACTGTACACCTGGCTTCATCACCCAGGTTTCATTACCTGTGTGCTATTTGTTATCCTCACTGTACACCTGGCTTCATCACCCAGGTTTCATTACCTGTGTGCTATTTGTTATCCTCACTGTACACCTGGCTTCATCACCCAGGTTTCATTACCTGTGTGCTATTTGTTATCCTCACTGTACACCTGGCTTCATCACCCAGGTTTCATTACCTGTGTGCTATTTGTTATCCTCACTGTACACCTGGCTTCATCACCCAGGTTTCATTACCTGTGTGCTATTTGTTATCCTCACTGTACACCTAGCTTCATTACCCGTGTGTTTCATTTCCTGTGTGCTTCATTACCTGTGTGCTATTTGTTATCCTCACTGTACACCTGGCTTTATCACCCAGGTTTCATTACCTGTGTGCTTCATTACCTGTGTGCTATTTGTTATCCTTACTGTACAGCTGGCTTTATCACCCAGGTTTCATTACCTGTGTGCTATTTGTTATCCTCACTGTACACCTGGCTTCATTATCCGTGTGTTTCATTTCCTGTGTGCTTCATTACCTGTGTGCTATTTGTTATCCTCACTGTACACCTGGCTTTATCACCCAGGTTTCATTACCTGTGTGCTTCATTACCTGTGTGCTATTTGTTATCCTCACTGTACACCTGGCTTCATTATCCGTGTGTTTCATTTCCTGTGTGCTTCATTACCTGTGTGCTATTTGTTATCCTTACTGTACACCTGGCTTCATCACCCGCGTGCTTCATTACCTGTGTGCTTCATTACCTGTGTGCTATTTGTTATTCTTACTGTATACCTGGATTCATCACCCGTGTTTTTCATTACCTGTGTGCTTCATTTCCTGTGTGTTTCATTACCTGTGTGCTATTTGTTATCCTTACTGTACACCTGGCTTCATCACCCGTGTGCTTCATTTTCTGTGTGTTTCATTACCTGTGTGCTTCATTACCTATGTGCTTCATTACCTGTGTGTTTCATTACCTGTGTGTTTCATTACCTGTGTGATTCATTACCTGTGTGATTCATTACCTGTGTGCTTCATTACCTGTGTGCTTCATTACCTGTGTGCTTCATTACCTGTGTGCTTCATTACCTGTGTGTTTCATTACCTGTGTGTTTCATTACCTGTGTGATTCATTACCTGTGTGCTTCATTACCTGTGTGATTCATTACCTGTGTGCTTCATTACCTGTGTGCTTCATTACCTGTGTGTTTCATTACCTGTGTGTTTCATTACCCGCGTGCTTCATTACCTGTGTGTTTCATTATCTGTGTGCTTCATTACCTGTGTGTTTCATTACCCGCGTGCTTCATTATCTGTGTGCTTCATTACCTGTGTGCTATTTGTTATCCTTACTGTACACCTGGCTTCATCACCCGTGTGTTTCATTACCTGTGTGCTTCATTTCCTGTGTGCTATTTGTTATCCTTACTGTACACCTGGCTTCATCACCCGTTTGTTTCATTATCTGTGTGCTTCATTTCCTGTGTGCTATTTGTTATCCTTACTGTACACCTGGCTTCATCACCCGTTTGTTTCATTATCTGTGTGCTTCATTTCCTGTGTGCTATTTGTTATCCATACTGTACACCTGGCTTCATTACCTGTGGGCTTCATTACCTGTGTGCTGTTTGTTCAGCTACTGCTTATTACAACATGTCATGCATATGTACCTCTCATCACTTGGTTGTTGTCACTCCAGCTTGATAACTGTGTAAGAATCTACATCGAAACGTCGCTATATGCAATAAACCAGAAGTTGTTATCTATGAAGTTGTACGTTTTCTTACTTACACACTAACTTCTAGAATGTCAACCAAACTGTTGTCAAGATGTCAGTTATGTAATAGTGTAAATATGTTTTTGCTAGATATAGCTTCGATTTGTAACAATTTGTTTGTAATCACGTTAATCAATTTCACGTTTCCACATTTCCAGAGATAATATTTGACAAACGCATATTCATAAAGATAAATCGAAGCAACTACGGGTATTCATTTTGTTCTAAATCATGACTATGCATTGATCACATGCATATTTTATTCTTGCTATGTTAAACATTTAGATACTTCTATTAAATATGGAAGTATCGAAAGGTGTTTGTCCACGTATGAAATCAACATAAGGATAAAGGGTTTTACAGTCTTTAAGGATCTTTAAGTAATTCCCAGGTTTCTTTCCTTGTTAAGGCGCCACTGAATAGTGAGTTGGGCTTAACGCCGCTTTTAACAGTATTGCAGTTAAATCACGGCGTGTCAGCTTAATGTGGGAGGAAAGCCTGAAGTAATGCAGGTCTCAGACGTTTACCACTTCGGTGAAACCCCCGAGCACGGGTATGGTGCTGACAAACCTAGAAACATAATTGGGGAGAACCGGGACTCGAACCAACAACCATCATAGGTTTCTGGCGTGCCCACCCTTACAGTGGCAGAGAGTGACTGGGAGCCTGATTTTTTTAAAATAAAACACTGCTCAACAATGTATGTAATTCTTGAGCCAGGCAATTCCTTATTTTTCAACAACATTGGGACAGTTTACTTTTTTTGGATAAAATCTCAGGAGATCAAATGGTTTGTTCCTTATGAGGGGCTCCCACGTTGACAGCTCTGCATTCAACAGTACCGGCAGCGTCTCGGACAGACAAAGGGTATTGACCGAGACTGAGAACACAGCGATGTTGGGACATTGGCACCCGTTCTCCTCTCTCGTTCACAGTTGTCTGATGTGAAAAAAGAACATTATTACAGATGAAGCATTAAATTGTGCCATAGCCACATCTGAAAGCCATGTTGTTTCACATATACTTTTCCACGGATCAATGCACATTTGTATTGTCACGTCCGCTCTTAGAGTATACAACTAAGATGCCTGTTAGGCGCTGTCAGGTGTGCATTTATATCATCATTTCATCCGATCGGGTACCAAGTCTCTGACGGATGAACTATGTATAGATATGACGATGATAATGATGATCTAAATAAAAATATAACAATACTACACCACATTATCACTTCCACACGACCATCACCACCAGCACCACCACCACTACTACTACTACTACAACTAAGATCTGGGATAGAATGTCAAAAGGTCGCACGGGAATCACGCACGCACGAAAACGGTGTTAGCGTTAGATTTCATGATGTCTCGGCGCAAGCATCTTTCCGATGAGAAAGGTTAAAATATTTGAATACTTTAAGGCTGAAAGTGAACGTCGTTCGCCCTTCTTTGA